CAGGGCCGTTGTGCTGCGCTTGCATGGCAGTGCTTGTGGGCTGTGTGGCCTTGTGGATCGAAGCAAAATGTTGCACGCGGATACTTTCATTGCACGTGGGCAAGTCTAGGACATGGTTGTGTCTTGTGTGCACAGTGCACATGCCACTTGGGCATCGGATGCCGTCGCCGAGTGTATGGGAATGGCCATACCCACCCGTACGAGGGAGCAGCGGGTACATACCACTACGTACATTACACGTGGGCAGTGACAGAGCGTAGAGCATGCATGCATGAGCCGTACGTTGTCAGCACAACAATCCCTCTCGATCGTGCAGGTCTGCCAACTGATGATGAATGGAATCCCAGGCAGCGCATGCAGGCTGCTACAGTGCCAGGCTCGGCTCCGATCCGATCCTTGGTGGCACGGTGACTGTCCTGTCGTCCGCCGATGCTCGCTGCGCCGCGGACGGCGGACGGACGGACGGACACCGTCTCTCTCTCTCTCTCTCGTACAGCACCAGTACATACAGTACGTACACCGTCGTTGCCTGATTGTAACATCCACGGCGTGGGTGGCTATGCCGTCGTTGGCTGATTGCCATGGCCGCCGCCTTGTCCGGCTTTCTCCTGGCCGTTTCTCTCCATCCTTGCTTTCCACTGCATCGTGCTGGTTGGTGCACTGCACTGCACGTCTCACTCAACTCATCTTGACACGGACGCCACCTCGTCTGCTATTCAACCATCCCCCATGGGTGATGGGGCTCTCTCTCCCTTCCTCCGAGACGGACGGACGGACACACTCACACACGGCTCGACGACAAGCTAGGCGCAGGGCCTGCCGGCCAGCACCTTACCGTCCTAGACGGCCGTGCTCTGTCCCGACGCGCTTCAAAGGCCGCATAGGGGTGGGGTCCACATGCCGCAGCTACAGTCCGGCTTTCTGTCCGTGTCCGTGTCCCATCCACCGGCGGCGGCGCGTGCATGCATGCGGTTGCTAGGGGGCGTCCCCCCAGTCAAAGGAGGGCTCGCGCCCCGACGACGACCTGTCCCCTCCGTCGCCCACGTGGAAGGCAGCAGACCAGTAACCACTGCAGCAGAGAAGAAAAAAAAACAGAGATGGTTACAGCCGGCTTATATAAAAAATAAAAAAAATTACGAGAGAGACCAGTACAGTAAAGAGTCAAGGGCTTGTTTAGTTTCAAAAAGTTTCCTACAAAATGCTGTAGTAGCTATCATATTGAATCTTACGATAGGTGTATGAAGCATTAAATGTAACAACAACAACAACAACAACAAAGCCTTTAAGTCCCAAACAAGTTGGGGTAGGCTAGAGTTGAAACCCAACAGAAACAATCAAGGTTCAGGCACGTGAATAGCTGTCTTCCAAGCATTCCTATCTAAGACTAAGTCTTTGGGTATATTCCATCCTTTCAAGTCTCCTTTTATTGCCTCTACCCAAGTCAACTTCGGTCTTCCTCTGCCTCTCTTCACGTTACTATCCTGACTTAGGATTCCACTACGCACCGGTGTATCTGAAGGTCTCCGTTGCACATGTCCAAACCATCTCAACCGGTGTTGGACAAGCTTTTCTTCAATTGGCGCTACCCCTAATCTCTCACGTATATCATCGTTCCGAACTCGATCCCTTCTTGTATGCCCACAAATCCAACGCAACATACGCATTTCCGCGACACTTAGCTGTTGAATATGTCGTCTTTTCGTAGGCCAACATTCTGCACCATACAACATAGCAGGTCTAATCGCCGTCCTATAAAACTTGCCTTTTAGCTTCTGTGGTACCCTTTTGTCACATAGGACACCAGACGCTTGCCGCCACTTCATCCACCCTGCTTTGATTCTATGGCTAACATCTTCATCAATATCTCCATCCCTCTGTAGCATTGATCCTAAATATCGGAAGGTATCCATCCTAGGCACTACTTGACCTTCCAAACTAACATCTTCCTTCTCCTGAGTAGTAGTGCCGAAGTCACATCTCATATACTCAGTTTTAGTTCTACTAAGTCTAAAACCTTTGGACTCCAAAGTCTCCCGCCATAACTCCAGTTTTCTGATTCACTCCTGTCCGGCTTTCATCAACTAGCACTACATCGTCCGCGAAAAGCATACACCAAGGGATGTCCCCTTGTATGTCCCTTGTGACCTCATCCATCACTAAAGCAAACAAATAAGGGCTCAAAGCTGACCCTTGATGTAGTCCTATCCTTGCACAGTTTGGTTGGAAATTACGAGACGAACATTTTGAGCCTAATTAATCCATGATTGAACACTAATTATTAAATACAAATGAAAGTGCTACGGTAGCCAAATTTTCAAAATTTGCGAACTAAACACAACACAGCCTAACTGCTATATCGATGGACCGAGAGCTCTACGGCCCGCGAGCCCGCTGTATTACTCTAACCCGATTTCCGTTCACACGGAGCCAGCAAGCAAACTCGCAAGGCAGTGAACCGGCCCGGTGCTAAGGAAATTTTTTTGTTCGTATTCCGTGGACTGAAATAACTTTGAAAAACGCCAAATGAAACTGTAACAACCCCCCCCCCCTTCCACTTCCACGTGAGTGCAAGCACGCATATAAAAATAAAAATTTTGTTAACATCAGCACATGTACAATATAATACCTTTTGAATGTTAAAAAAACTAGAGCGGTTAAACCAAGTATCTAAATTAAATTTTAATTACACCATCATGTTTTTTTAATAAACCATTCAAAACATGACTCCACATAGACATATTTACATAAACTTTTATTAACAAATTTTTATTTCATGGTGATAGAACATTTATCTTTATTCAGTACGAGTGATATTCTAGGTCCAAGATATAATGTTCCATCTTTACAAGACAAATATTCTAATTTTAGTACAAAAATATCTTAGATCTAGGATAAAAGATTTCTAGACATGAAAATAGAAATAATGACTAACAAAATCTATGAAATAAAAAACATTTTTTTTGAAATAATGAAATAAAAAACATAACATAAATAAGAAAATAATAAGACATAGAACAAAGCATAATGGAAAAAAACAATAAATGACATGCTACAAACACATCATAAATGAAAAAAAAAATATTTCTATAGTTAAGCAATTTCAAATGCTTTGGTATATGACGTAATCCACATAAATGCAGAAAATACATCACAAATGGAAAAAAATATTTCTGTAGTTAAGCAATATATATCAAATGCTTTGGTATAATTATTTAGAGTAAAATTATGAAGAAGAAGAAAAATAAAAAGCAATTGCTGTGAAATATTTAGAAAAATTAAATAAACGAGTAATTTTTAAATATAAAATAAAATTCTTCGGAGATGTGATCATGAAGGAGAATGCTTAGCGCCCTGCAGCCGTCTAAGCGCTTGGACAGGAAGAGTACCGTAGCTGGCCTCTCAACTCGATTCTTGAGGACTGGAGGCTTGAGTATGTACTCCTATCTTCGTAGAGGCAGTATTAACTCAGAAATTATGAGATAGTTTGTACTTGTCCAGTTATGTAGACACGGCACGTAGAAAGCATATTCTGAATAGATGGTTTCTTCGAAAGAAAGTTTTGTCAAATCACATTTGATCTTTCTCTTATGACATCTTTTTATTCCTTGGTTTCCATGTAGACATAATTTTAGTGGTGTTTCATGATAGTTTTATAAACAACAAATAAGCTATCAAATTAGTAAATATGCTACCAATTTAGTAATAAAATGCTATGAAGAGATAGGAGACCAAAGTTTCACGGAAGAAATGAGTTTCATAGGGATGAAACTAATTTGCAATGTTTCTAGCATATGAGAGTCTTGGAAACTGGACATGAAACTCCTAGTGAGACTTACATTATCTATAGAAACATTTCCTTCTCTCTCATTTTTAATTCTAATGTCACATCAATATTTTACTTAATTAGTTAACGCTCTAATTATTGAGTATAGAAATAATTTTAATTCTGAGTTGAAATAATAACCGGCCACACCACACTAACCACGCAACATAAAATAATTTTTCAGTAGTTTCATTAGTCATTAATTATTTATTGTAGAGATAAATTTTCAATAGTTTCAATGGATACATCACTAACAATACTAAAGCTAATGTCATTAGTTATCATCAAATAATTTGTAAATAGTTTCTTTGTGTATATATATTCCTCACGATATGAATAACAGCTATGATATTTTCGAAAACTAATATAGATTGGGATAAATAAAAGGTCATGAAAAGTAGATTCAAATGTATCTATTTTAGCTAAACGGACGACGAACATTCATATTCTAATTTTATCGGATATACGTATTCAGATCAAACAGATAACTGAACATGTTTTACAGATAACTGAACATCTATTGTCTACGATTAGCCGAGTATGACAAGAAAGTATGGGATCATGTCTCTCGCTCGGTTCCCCCAAAAGCCAACAGCTTTTCATGCCTCAGTCTACGGGTGTACACGTGCTGGACCACTCTCTAATGATCAGAGATTTGCAAGGCTATGCTATGTGGAAGCTTTCAAGAGGCCTTCTCGCAAATATTTTGCCGAGTATGACAAGAAGGAATATTTTGTATACTCCACCATGTAAACTCACCACATTCGGGTTTTAATGACTCCTTTAAGCATGCCTTTCTCGTGCTTCATCAGTACAGGAAAAAATTCAAAAACTACTGCTCCCCACATAAAATTTACACAGAATACCGCAAAGGTTAAATGCTCTGTCTAAGGTTATTGATGTTGGTCTGGAAGTTGCAGGCGTGACATCAGAATACCCTCAGAACTCGACATAACCAAAGCGAACAGGGAAAAAAAATCAACCTTGACACGTCTCAACTATGGATCACCATTCAGCAATCTGGTTATATGACCTTTAAAGTTCCAAACTCCTCGGCACATTTCCCTCTCCATTCTCAGATCTCACCCATCTGAAACAGTCAAATACCCTCTACAAAACAAAACATCTGCAACCCACCCAGTTCTTCGCCTGAACAGGTGAACATCCAGCACCAGCGCTAGTAATAGTTGAGGAGGTTGCCGCTGATGACGTTGTTAATGTTGTTGCTGCAGGGGAAGCAGGCGCAGGAGGGCGCGTCGCTCCCCGGCAGGTGGCGGTGGTGGCTCGTGGCCCTGAGCCGCCGGGTGTTGTCGGCGGCCGCGCGCCGCAGCTGCTGGAGGTGCTGCGCCTGTGCCGTCACGCGCCACTCCTCGGCGCGCCGGTGCACCGTCGTCATCCGCCGCATCAGCTTATCCTCCAGGTTCGACCGCATCTTCTGAATCTTCACCTGACGAGCAGAGCAGGCAGGCAGGCAGGCACATTGCAAAAATGTCAGCGTCTGATGCAAACCTGATCAACCATTTGGACTTGCAGTATGTCATGCATTGCAGTGTTGCCTTGAACAGTGCAGCATGGAGGGAAAATTTTCAAAATTTGAACTCCCTGTCTGTACTAATGTAATACATTGCATACGCATGGGTAATTAGTATATTAGTACCGCAGATCATCATCACATTATAACCCCAAGCACATGCCTCCATCTTAAACTACGGTTAAACGGGGCACGATATCGCTCCGCGCTCTCGGATCGAAGCTCTTCACATGGCTCTGACAATGGTTAGTCCAAGTTCAGAACAAAACCAGCTAAACTACTCTGATGAGTTCCGATGAACCGCGTGGGTAAAAGGTGAGTGGGGTTGCATTGCATAGAAAGCAATGAACAATCATGCCTCACACTGTTCTAAGCAACTCGGATTAGCAAGGCGACAAGGAGGTGGCGGACAAGAATTCGCCGTGGATTTAGCTCTGTTGGAGGCTGTGGAGGTGCAGGAGCAGGAAGAAGGAAATGGCAGAGCTGTGGTCTAATCCCAACCTTCTTCTGTGATTTTTAATTCTGGAATTTCTTGATGCTTGGAAATTACCGAGCTTAAACACATGGTTTCTGAACACTGGCTTCTGTTTCTACTGACACGCTGGGCATTATGGATTCAATATTGGATTCAGAGTGCAATGTGTGAAGTCTGAACATGATATATAATATCAATAGATTCAAATAGACATCGAGCTGCAAGATTTCAAAAACTCTACCCAAGTTGCAGTTCAGCTGGTTCCACACGCAGTATGTCATCATAGTCAGGGTCAGATTGGGTTGGGACAAGCTATTCCCACTTTCCCTATATATATATATAGCTCTACAAAATGGACCTAAATCTTTCCTTTCTAAAACTGAACCTTACAGTTCAAAATACTACTCCTAGTACTAGTAAGGCAACCTATATCATTGCACCTACAGCCTCCTAAATGTGTAATCTGAAGTTCTGAACTTGAACAATAATGCAGACTAGGATGCCGTAATATAAAAAATTTATGACATGAATTACGGGAAAATAATATTTGCCAATGAATTTTTTAATTAGCAAAATTAAATTTTGCATACAGATGGTACTGAATTTTGTTGTACCTCCAGCTTTCTTGATTGTGCTTCAGCCTTGGCGCTCTCCAGGTTAATCCAAGCCTGGATCTTTGCCTCTTCCCTCTGATACCTAATCGATTGGAGCACAAAAAACAGATTAAAATTATGTCAGAATCGCTCAATCTCTGATCAAAATTCAGAATCTCATGTCTAATCTTCCATCACTAATTCACTATGCAATGTGCCGTGCTGTGTGTTGCACACACCTGATGCAGCTCTTGGCCCTGTCATCGTCATCCCAACGGCAGTCGCCGCCGCCGCGTTTATCGCAAGGTGGCCCGCCGCCGGCTCCGGCGCCGACGGTGGCCTCGAAGTGCCTGAGGCTCTTGGACACCTCCTCTTCCTCCTCCTCCTTGGAGCTCCAGTTCACCAGCATGGCGTCGAACCGCGCGCCCAGGTCCAGCTTGGCGAGGTGGCAGTCCGCCAGCTCCGAGATGTCCATCCCGCCGCCGCCGCCGCCGCCGGTGTACGGCACCAGCGGGCCCGACCGGCTCGCCGGCGTGTTGTGCCGCACCGGGGACGTGCTCTTGAGCGGCGTGTGGCACGAGCTGCCCAGCGGCGTCATCTCCGTGCCGACGTCCCTCCGCTGGTGGTCATGGTCGTCGGCGCCCACTACCGCCGAGCCCTTCGCCGGCACCGGCTCGCAGTACGAGCTCCGGAACACGAAGCTCTCCTTGGACGGCTCCTCGTTGTCGGTGAACTTGTCTGCAACATGCAGAAATCAGCATCTTGCAAGCTCAGCGTTGAATTGAAATACCAAACTTTCTTGTAAAATTCAGAGAAACAAATTCTGCTAGAAATAGAAATGACACCTTTGAGGAGCACTTCTGCCGGCGGCGTGTACAGCGCGAGCGAGTGGGCGTCCCGGAGCGCATCCACGGACCTCCTCACCGTCATGGCCGCCCTCTTCTCGTCCTCGCCTCCGGCGCCACCTCGGTGTCCGAGCCCGCTGCTCCACTGCCTGGAGAAGGCGGCCTTGCCATTACCGTTGCCGTGGTCAGAATCCGAGGACTGCCGCAGCCACTTCTCCGCGTCCTCCCACTTGGAGGGCACCGACCTCCTCGGGGCGACGAGCTGGTGGTGGTGGTGGTGCGCGGGGCTCGTGAAGAACTGCAGCGGCCGCCCCGGTGTCGCCGGGACGGCCACGGCCTGCTGCTGCTGCGACTCGCCTCTCCGCTTCTGAGCTGAGGTCGCCGAGGAAGAGGAGGTGGAGGAGGTGGTGGAGGCCTCGTGGTGGCGCCCGTGGCCGTTGCTGCTGCTGCTGCTGCTCCTGGCAAGGGTGGCCATGGGGAAGGAGGACCTGACGAACTCGGTGGTCTCCTTCTTGTTCAGGCTGCAGGGCGGGTCACTGAACGTGGGCTCAAACACGCTGCTTCCACCTCCTCGCCTTCCTCCTCCTCCGGTTGCTGCTGCTGCAGCTCCTACTCCATGGAATGAGTTCTGCAATGAATCAGTGGAGCATGACTCTGTTCCTGAGGTGAGGATGAGGATAGTTGCTGCAAGAAACAGCTTCGTGCTTGCTCTGTTGTGCTGATCTTCTTGGGTGAAGAAAGCAGAGGCAAGTGGTGAAAGGAAGTGTTTGTTGCTTGCTTACTCTTCTTGTTGAGGCCGAGGACTTGAGCTCCATGGGAGTGTGTTCTTGGTTATGTGAGCTCCACCCTGACGGAGCTTTACTTGCTTCAGCTGTTAAGTGCAATAGTGATGTGTGTGTACGAAGCAAACAGGGCAAGCTTATGTGGGCTTATATATGGCCTATGATCAGGAGGTCCCTGCTCTAACCTTGCTACATAACACTAGTTAATTAGGAGTAGTCACCATTAACAGTACCTTGTCAGACACTCACACTAGTACCTGGAATCCTGCACACGCCAGTTATGAAAATATATACTGCCAACTGTACTCCATACAAGAGGTCCCTCATCTGAATATCCTTTTTTTTTAAGAAAAATTAAACATCATCCTATAATCAGGAGGCTGTACTTTCAGTATTTCAAAATGTCATCTACGCACAATATAAAAATGTCCGAAATGTCCAATACGACCAAGCTGTCAGTCTGGATGTCCAGTACTAGTACAGTACGTGTATTTATTTCATTGACCATTCTGAATGCTCGCCGTCGTCAGCCGGTTACAGCGAGCAGTTTTGCTTTGACGGTCACTCGGCCCTGCAGCCCTGTAGTCTGGAGTTTGCTGTTGTGGTAGGCTGCTCGCATCGTTAAATTAAAACTTTTAACCCGTGCTCACCTCACCTGTTTTACCGCTGCCTGTGATTTCGGTATAGGGTGCTCCTAGTAGCTGGGTAGGTCAGAGCTAGTGGCAAATGCACAGCAGGATTAAAAGGAGCTGATCTCTTCTTCCTTCTTCCTCTCTATTTTTCTTCTTTTCTCTATCTCTTTCTCTCTCCATATTTCTATGGATGCATCAGCCATAGAGATCCGCCCCTGGTCAGGACCTTTGCAGCCTCATGAATTCACTGTGTCAGTCTGTGAGTCTGGGCGCTACAGTTATGTACTGTACTTACCATCTTTTTTTATCATCTTGGCAAGGTCGCCATACTGGCGGCGTGTTTAGTTCCATCCCAATTTCTAAAAAGTTGCTACAGTACATATTACATCGAATATTTGCGACCCGTACATGGAGCATTAAATGTAGACGAAAAGATAAATTAATTGTACAGTTTGGTGGGAAATTATGAGATGAACGTTTTGAGCCTAATTAGTCTATGTTTAAACACTATTTACCAAATAAAAACGAACGTGCTACAGTATGTCTAAACAAGGACTGGTACTTATTGCAAAAAGGTGACGAGAAGCTTCTCTTTCCTCATTTCCATTTGGTCTCGAGGTTTACAGCTGCATTACTCCGTGATCTAGAGGCAATGAGGGTCACAATTAGTGGCTTCAAAAGCGCGTTCGGCTTGCTGAAATCTGACTGAAACTAGCTGAAAAATACTATTCTGACTAAATTATTATGATAAAAAAAATATTATTTTGATAAAAAAAACATGCCGAACAAACTGGTTTTGGGTAAGCCTACGATTCATCATCAGCAGCTTCTGTGATATGCTGCCCCCACACATTTGTGCGTCTCGTTTGTTCGTTTCTGCGCTTTCTGAATCATATTCGTCGAGTACATACATACTGGTGATGTGGTTGCTCCTTTGCAGACTGCCCTGCATTGCCAACACACACGCTGCCACGGTTTACTGGCGGGGCACGTTCGTTTGAATTTATTAACTGGTTATAGTATTTTTCTCTTATAATAAAATAGTTTTAGCTCACTTATCAGTCGTTTTAATACCAGTCGAACATGCTTTAGCGGCATTATTTTCAGTCGTAGACATTGAATTGCTCGTCTGCAATGCAAACATGGGATGGGATTCCTCGTGTCCAGGATTGGGTATGGCTTCGGGGCTTGTTTAGATTGTAAATTTTTATAATCTGGATATTGTAGCACGTTTCGTTTATATTTAATAAATTTTATCCGATCATGGACTAACTAGGTTCAAAAGATCCATATCGTGATTTACAACAAAACTATGTAATTAGTTATTTTTTTTACCTACATTTAATGCTCTATGCATGCGTCTAAAAATTGATATGATAGAGAGAGAGTGAAAAAACTTGGAATTTGGAGGTGATCTAAACAAGGCCCGGATCACAAGGGAACGCCACGCTGACATCTTTCTCACAACAGCAAAAGGGCTGGGCTACCACTGTGCCAAGCTTAGTACTGCAGCAGCATGGAGAACAGCAAACGTCCCTGTGCGCCGCACAGCGTTTGCCGTCGGCTACAGCGCCGGCAGCGGCAGGCACGGCGCGCCGTGCAGCTTTCTCGATCGTTTCGTAGCTCCGCCTGCACCTCCGGCCCCGACGACCACGCCGCAGTCGGAGCCTCGGAGGCGGGCGCCGCATGGCCGACCGGCCCGCCACCAGGTGAAAAGAGGACAAAAAAAAGCACGAGATGGACCGTGAGCTCGTGAAAGTATCAGGGTTGGTTATCTACCCTGGGGCTGTTCGGCTGGCTGGCCGGTGGCTGGCTGGCTGGGCAGCCCCCTCACGAATCACTGTTCACGTGAACAGTGATTTCAGCTAGAACGATATTTTTTTTTCATGATAACGAGCTAGAACAGTATTTTAATTTATTTTTCAGTTCTGTCGAACAGGCTCCCTGTTGCTGAACCTGAAGCAGACACGTTAGCCGGCGAGCATGCAGACATTCAGTCGTCAGTGCGGGCCGCCGCAACTTTTGCTTGCTTGCTTGTGGATTGTGAATGAAAGAACCAAAAATTCCCAGACGAGTTTACTCAAATTGGATCGGGCTTTTGAGTGCCCTCCTCGTTCAGCAGCCCGTCAGGCCACGTAAAAGAGGCCGCCGCGAAATCTCCCGTGGGCCGAAAATCTACTAGGGTCCAGTCCACCATGGCCTTGGCCACTGTTAACATGCAGGCAGATCCAGTGTAGCCCATCTACCCTCTGCCTGCCAATTGCTAAGGAACTGCGAACGTTACAGAACCGTCAGTTTCATCAGTTCAGCCCATCTACCCTTTGCCTGCAGGGTGATCCGTGGGTTCGCTAAATCCACCGAACTTTTTTTTTTTCTTCTAAAATACAGTTCCACTCGACCTGTATTTTCTCATCGGTGTAATCCTTATCCACCAACTTACACACAACCTAAGGGTCTGTTTAGAATATGCTGGACAAAATACTTGCGGTCATGGCTCACCAACTCGCTCGACTTGGCTCAACTTATCTTAATTTTTTCATGAACTGAGCTGGAAGTCCAGCTCGCTGTTTTAACGACTCTCAAGCTGCTTGCAAGCTGAAACGAGCTTGGGCTAAGAGCCCATCTACGAAGCTGAAACAAGCTGTCTAGGATCCAAGAGGGATGGGAGGCCCAGCAAGCCCACCCTCCGTCCTCCCCCTTCGTCTTTCCACTTTCCACCAAAGTTTTAAATCTCCATTTATAGTCGCCGCTGCTATAGCCGAACCAAGAGGATGGGAGGCCCAGCAAGCCCACCTCCGTCCTTCCCCTTCATCTTTCCACTTTCCACCAAAGTTTTAAATCTCATTATAGTCTGCCCTTATAGCCAAGATAGTCACTAGAGATGGAAGAAGCTAAGAGATGCAGTTTTTAGCGCTAAGAAAAGCTGGGTGCTAATAGCGCCATTTAGCCGGCAATAGCCGCTAAACTGGCCTTCAGTGTAGCCGCTAAAGTGCAAATCCTGGACCAAGAAGCAAGCTAGCCCAACTGGACCAGAGACGAGGACCAATACGTAACCCTAGCTAGTCAGTAGTCACCCATCTCTCTCCAGTCTATCCAGTATCAAGCGCTCGCTCTCCGGTTCCACAGAAAAGTGGAGCGGCGGCGGCGGCGGCTTGTGCCCTTGGCGGCGTGCAAGGAGGCGAGCGGGCGATCAAGGTGGCGAAGTCGAGAGGAGAGACCAAGCGCGCAATGGCCAGCGGCGTGGAAGCGACCAATGACGGCGGCGGCAGCTTCGAAAGCGGAGAAACCGAATTCGCGGCGGTGGTGGCGACTTTGGAGGCGGTGGCGTGGAAGCACCGCAAGATGCAAAGACCAACCAAGCAACACCATGGCACAACAATCCGGCAAGCTTCTTCTTCCTTTCGGTGCTCACATAGTCATATCCTTCCTCTGCTTTCAAAGACTAATGGTGATGTTTCCATATTTTGGTAGGCTACGATGTACTCGAACCTATGATGTACTCCTATGAACCGATTATGAATCAAGAGTGAAATACACCGGGCGGCCCTTTAACTTGTCGGCTGTGCCAATCCGTCCACGAACTTGCAAACGCGGAAAATAGACCCCTGAACTTGTCAAGTTGTTCACCGCAGTTCATTTCCCATCCGTAGCGGCCTCCAGCGACGTGGCGATGCCAACTTAGCGGGGGCAAGCACGTGAGCCGCACGTTTCAACGGGCCTGCCATGCTCGCTTGCCGGTCGCGCAACACCCGCTCGCCCGCGTCGCTCGCTTTCCCGGCACCGCTGCGGCGCTCGCTTCATGAGCTCGTGTGTGCTTGCTTGCCATACGCTTGCCCACGGGCCATACACGGCGCATACCAGCCGATCGTTGGCGTGTGGGCACGCGGCGAGGGTTGTCGCCGCTGCCACTGGCGTACCAATGAAACAGCCGCCGCAGCCACGTGGGCACACAAGCAGGCGCCGCCACTGCGGACGTGCGTGCGAGGTAGGTAGGTGAGGGAGGGAGGTAGGGTGCGCTGCAGGCGGCGGCGGTAGGTGCATTAGGCACCTCGTTGGCCATGGCGGAGGTGCACGGCAATGACGGCGGCGGCGTCCGCGGCGTGGCAAAGACAGGCCAAGCTTCGGCATGGGACCTGCCGAGGTGCAAAGGGTAACCCCCACGGGCGTGGCCCACCCGCAGCAGGTCCGAGGCGGGTGGAGCGAGAGCTGGTGCATGCGACATGCCTATGGCGGTGGTGAATCGGCGGCAAGGGTGCCGTTCCTTGAACCTCTGCGAGGCCGAGATGGAGGGCATCGGTATGACCTAGAACAAAGCGAAATGGTGGTGGCTTAGTGAGGGAGAGAGCGGGCTGTGCACGAGCTCGAGCCACGGCAATGGTGGCGGTGGCGCAAAATCCGCCA